TAAAGCCGTCCCTTCCCGGGGCTTTACAAGCTTTTAGATGTTTAATAGCATTATCTAGTTCTTGTGGTGTTATGGGTTCGTCCATCATTGTAGCGTGGGAATGTGAGAGGTGTTTTAGGACATTGCTTGATTTAAGAAATTGGCTAATAGAAGTTTGTGGGGGGTTGTCAGTGGTATATAGGTTTTGATAGAAAGTCTTAAAAAGCGACAAAATATCTGTAGATTTATATTTAAAATTGCCATTTGAGTCTTGTAAAGCATTAACATTATTAGATTTACGTCTGCTCTTAAGTTTCCAGGCCAGTAATTTTATTGACCTGGGATTTCTGTACCAGTATTTTTGTTTTAGAATTAATAGTTGTTTTTGAATTCTGGAAACATCTAGGGCTTCCAGCTTTGCTCTTTCTGTGAGCAATTGTTTGTAAATTTTCTTCGAACCGTATTTTTTGTGTTTATATTCTAGTTGTTTTATTGTGGCCAAAATTTCTTGTTCTAATTTATTTCTTTCCCTGTTATAGGCAGAAGAAATTGAAATAATTTTGCCTCTAATGACGGCCTTCATTGCGTCCCACACTAGTGTCTTCGAGACTCCACATGAAGAGTTCAGCTGAAAATATTCTATTAGTGCTTTTTCTATATCTGTGCATGCAAGTTGATTAAATAAAAGATTATTGTTAAATGTCCATGTTTTGGCTGGTTGGTAATCAGTTGTCAATGTCATAGTGCCTTCGACCCAAGCATGATCTGATAAGGATCTGAGGCCTATGTCCGAGGACTCGAATTTATTAATCAGAGAAGGGGAAACAAAAATATAGTCGAGCCTGGAAAAGGAATTGTGGCGAGCAGAATAAAAGGAATAATCTTTGACTCCTGGGTGTTGTAAACGCCAGATGTCACATAGTTGGTGCTGTGTGGCAAGTTTTTGTAAATAGGATTTAAAGTTGGAGTTGTTTTGGGATTTTGCCAGAGGGTTGTAGGATTTGTCCCAAAAGGGGTCCATTATGGTGTTAAAATCACCTCCGATTATGGCATTACCTTCTTGGAAGGAGTTGAAAAGCAATAAAGTATGTTGTAAAAAGGTTTCCTGGCCCTCATTTGGAGCATAGATAGATCCTAAAGTTATAGCGTCATTGTTTATTTTACCTTTTAAAAAGATGTAACGCCCATTAGGGTCTACAAGTTTGTCTTGCAAATGAAAATTTACGTGCTTGGAAAACAAAATGGCTGCCCCTTTAGAAGAGGAGGAGCCTCGGGCATGATACTGGTTTGCAAACCACTTATGTTTAAGAAAGGGTTGCGTTTGGTTTTTAATATGAGTTTCTTGGATAAAAAGGATGTCAGGTCTAAGTTTGGCTAGTGCAGTGGAGATTCGTTTAGCTTTTATCTTGTCATTGAGCCCATTACAATTAATAGAATAAATCTTCAATTTATCCATCATTGAAAATTAAGAATAATAGAGATAGACCATAATAGGATTGAAATGCAAGATTTTGGTGGAATATAGAATACAAATGCCAAGACAAGAAAAAGTGCACCTGAGAACATTTAGTTGTATTGTCCATATGGAACCACCTAAGGTCATTTGAGTCAAAAAGTCCCCTATAACTATAAAACACATAATTAAACAAACATAAATATAAAAACAGTAATAACAAACAACATTTCCCCAAAACACTGGGGGGTTGTATAACTAGGCCGGCCTCAAATAACATTGAGGCCGAAGCTTTTAGGCTAGCAAACTTAGCCTATGTGGACTAAAGATTGTATTAGAATACAATAGAGTGGGGGGAGATAGCAAGTCAGTTCTCCCCACCCCACCCTTAGTGATATTGTGAGAGATAAATCCCACAACCACTTCATTGTTATGCAATGCTTAGTAAATGAGATAGTTAGTTCACTTATAAACTGAGCTATTAAACACAAACATAGTTGTTGTCGTTTTGCCACACTTAATTAATGAATACATGAATATAGAATATAAAATGAAATAGGTTGAATTCACCAGTGGCTTAGTTTTAAGTTTTTATACTATGAAATAAAAATATGGAACTATAAAAAACAGACTTAATTGTTGCCATTTTGCCACGCTTAAATAGTTAACACATAGATGAGAAATGTAAAATAAAATAGGTTGAAATCACCAGTGGCTTAGTTTTAAATTTTTATACTATGAAATGAAATTTAAAGTTATAGTTGTTGTCGTTTTGCCACACTTAATTAATTAATACGTGAATATAAAATATAAAATGAAATAGGTTGAATTCACCAGTGGCTTAGTTTTAAGTTTTTATACTATGAAATAAAAATATGAAACTATAAAAAGCAGACTTAATTGTTGCCATTTTGCCACACTTAAGTAGTTAACACATAGATGAGAAATATAAAATAAAATAGGTTGAAATCACCAGTGGCTTAGTTTTAAATTTTTATACTATGAAATGAAATTTAAAGTTATAATAGGTGTTTTATATATATATATAAAAGGGGGAAATAAAATGAAACAAAAAGAAGAAAAAGGGAACTAAGGTAGGTTAAAGTCACCATATTAAACTGATACATATATAAAATAATATAGTGAGATAGGTTAAGTTCACTGACCGCTTAATTCCAAGTTTTCCTTTTTATGAGATAATAATAATAAAGAACTTAGACAGGTTAGAGTCACCATATCAATTTGGTATTTAAATATTAATACAAAGTAAAGTAAATTGGGTGCTCAAGGGGCTTAGTTCCAGTTTTCCCCCCCTTAATTAAAAAGGAAAAAAATAAATTAAAAAAGAAAACTTGGTATGGGAAATAATAGCAATATGAACAATAGAACAAAAGCATGGGGGAACTTAAATGGATTAGAGTTGGAGTCACCAAATAGGGTATTTTTGTCAATGTAATAGCGTTCCCTTTGTTTAACTTTTCAAATGATGAAAACTTAAATTTATAGTGGAAAATTGAAATAAATATGAGTTAAGGTTTCATGGAAAAAAAGAGAGAAAGAAGGTTAAGGCACCAGATATCAAAATATCAGACTTCGTATCTCCAGCACCCATTAGGACGATCAGTCGTAGGGTAAAACTTTCAAGGAACGAGAGGCTGAAGACACAGTCAAGATGGACGTTGGGGTTTACCATAACTTTCCTGAGGCAGACAGTTCAGCGGTGGATGTGAGACCAGCGTGTGTCGGGCTTGCTGTCTCCAGGGGAAGGACGCTCATCTCGTGAAAATGGCGCGAGGGGAGGTTTAAATTCTAAACCGAGATCTTGAAGAAGCTTCGCTCCTGTGTCGAGGTCAGTTGCGGTAAATCTTAGTCCTTCATGGATAACTTGAATTTCGATCGGTGAGGACCATCTGAAACGAAATCTATTTTCGACGAGGGTTTGTGTAATCAGCCGTAGTTGGCGTCGGTGTTGGAGAGTTTCCGGCGATAAGTCTTGGAGGACCGAGATTGTCGTGTTCTGAAACTGGAGGCCATTGTTCTCTCTGGCTATTTTTAAGATCTTTTCCCTTGTTCGAGAGTCCGGGAATGTTGCCACTATATCCCTGGGGAATTTGAGGTTTTTTCTGTTTGGAGGACCTGAGCGATAAGCTTTGTCTATTAACGGGGCTATGTTGTCCTCTAGCTTTAAGATGCCGGCCAACCAGGTAGCAAGAAAGATTTTTAATTCGGACCCTGTTTCTGCGCCTTCTGCAAAGTTTCTAAATTTTAAGTTAGGCTCTCTTAATTTGTTCTCTAGGAACATGATCTTAGCTGTAGCCCATTCCTCAGATTTCTGGAGGTCCCTGACGTCGTCTTGCGAGGCGATCGCTGCCTCCAAGGCCGTTTCAGCGGCCTGGGAGACTTCTGCTATGGTTGCCGTGATGGATTTCAATTCGTCTGCTAGGGGCTTGATGGCAAGTTGTACTTGCTCTGCAATAAGAGGCTTGATAGCAAGTTGGACTTGTTCCACAATCGAGGATTCTAAATGTTTAATTGATGTAAAGAATTCAGAGCGCAAAAGCGCTTTGCCATCGTCTTCTGTGGGCTTGGAGGAGTTGCCGTCCGCCATTTTAGGTTCTCGATTTGGCGCTGCGTTTACCGGCGAAATCGTCGTCCCCGATTTTAAATATTGTGTGAGTTGTTGTGAGTTACTCACTTTTTTTGCTGCTCTCGGGTACCCGGACTTTCCCATGAGGATTTTAGTAGGCAGGTAAGTAAATTGAAGTGGTTGTGGAGGCGATTTATTGAGTGGGGTGGAGGAGACGATCCGCTACACGTCCACCATTACCGGAAGCCAAGCTCCGCCAAGATGTAACCAATATTTGATGGTAGCAATCCAAGCTCTAGATTCTATGGTATAAATGCCAAGTATTATTATGGCTAATATGAAATGAGCCAGAATTGTATTTAGCTGTCTAATTCATGATGGGCACAGACTAGGTCCCAGCACTCACAGTGGGTTACCCCAAGGCCAGTTACTGGATTCATGGGCGTCACTTGGCATAACAGTGGAAAGCCAGGAGGCTTGTAAAGTATCTGTATCATTAGGTTGCCAGCTCCCGGTTGGGGAATGCTCTGGAGGTGGTGCCTGAGGTGGGCAGGGCTTGGGAAGATGAGAGACTTCAATGCGGTATAATGCCATTTAATCCACCTTCCAAAGCAGCCATTTTCTCCAGGTGAACGGATCTCTTGTCACCTGGAGATCAGCTGGAATCCCAGATCTCCAGGCACCACCTGGAGGTTGGCAACTCCAATCCCTACTCAGCCGCCTCAAGCCCGAGGCGGCGTTTATAATTCAATCTTTCCCCCATCGCCTCTCTCTCCTGATTGGGCAGCGCCGCCAGCCAATCAGCGCCGCCGCCAGAGATGCCCTCTGTGCACTATTGGGCTTCACTTCCCGGAATCGCGATGGACGCCGCGCTCGCCCACCACCCCTCCCAGCCAAACCCGGAAATCTCGCGAGATTTCCCCCGCCGCGTCTTTTCCCCTTGTCGGAGATCTCGCGGGAGTCTACCACCGGCGTGTCTGCGCATGCGTGCCCGGTGGGACTCCCGGACCGTCAGCTGGGGCCGAGCGAGGAAGGCGGAGCGGCCATGCTTCGGGGGCTTCTGCGGGCGCCGCGCCTGGGGCGGACAGCGGTGAGTGGCCGTGGAGGGGAGACCGGGGAGAAGCCGGCCTCTTAGCCCCCCTCTCTCAAAGGTCAAACTGACCTCTCGGGCCCGCAAAAGCTGGGAAGTGGCCAGGAGTGGATCAGGGACCTTTTGCCTCCAAAGCTGGAGTGCAGGCAAAATCAGTGGTCTGATAATACTTCGTATTTATTGGAATTATAGAGTTGGGTCATCTAGTCCAACCCCCTGCACAATGCAGGAAATTCACAACTACCTCCCTCTCCTCCTGCCAGTGACCCCTGCTCCATGTTTATTTGTTCATGAGCATGTGCATTGTGCATGAGAAGCAGGGTGATGTAATGATTGTTTTATTTGCAACATTTATGTTTTGCTTTATTTGCAGGGTTTATATTTTGCCTGTTTATTTGTTCATTCAAACACGCATGAAAGCCAGGGTGGTATAGTGGTTGTTCTGCTTGCAAGGTTTATATTTTGCTTTATTTGCAAAGTTTATATTTCACCCATTCATTCATTCATTCAAAGATGCATGAGAGCCAGGGTGGTGTAATGGTTGTTTTATTTGCAAGATTTATATTTCGCTTGATTTGCAAGGTTTATATTTTGCCTTTCTGCCCAGTCAGGGTCACCGAGGGGGCTAAACAGACAGTGTGAAAATATATTGTGAAACAAGTTGAAAGCATAGCTAGATTAGAGTGTTGGACTAGGATCATAGAGTTGGAAGGGGCCTCCAAGGTCATCTAGTCTAACCCCCTGCACAACTACCTCCCCCCTCCCGCCATGACCCCTGCACCATGCCCAGAAGATGGCAAAAAACCTCCAGGATCTCCAGCCAAACTTGCCTGGAGAAAAATGGCTTCCTGACCCCAAACTGGTGATCAGCATTTCCCTGGGCATGTAAGAAAGGGCCGCGAGAACTAAGCACTGAGGCAACCCTCCCTGCCCTCCCTCTCGTGATCTGCCTAAATTTACAGAATCGGCATTGCTGTCAGAGGCCCATCTAGGAACCCTGGGTTTGAATCCCTGCTCTGCTATGGAAGATTGCTGGATGATTTTGCACCAGTCAAACATTCTCCGCCTGACCTACCCCACAGGGTTGATTTGAGGATAAAAATGGCAGAGAGGGAGGCACGCTGCTTTGGATCCCCATTGGGGAGAAAGGCAAGGTGTAAATGAAGTGAATAAATACATACAGTGCTTCTCCACTCCCCGCAAAGTGGCTTGTATTACTTTTCTCCTTGCCTCATAACAACAACCCTGTGATATGGGCTAGGCTGAGAGTGAGCGACTGGCCCAAGGTCACCGAGGGAACTTCCATGGCGAAGAGGGAATTCGAACCTGGGCCTTCTGGGGTGTATTCTGATGTTCCAGCTGCGACTCCGCACTGGCATTCTCCTTTTGTGGTTTGTTGTATTGCTTGGTTTTGTGTTATGGTCTTGAGCCGCCTCAAATTGGCCCTGGAGAGGCGGTGCACAAGTTTCTGAAATGTGGGCGAGTGGTAAACTTGTTCTGCGTTGTTGCGTGCAAAGGGCAAGGCGTGATTTGGCACATGCGGGGGAATGTGCAGTGGAGCCTCCACTCTTTTTGCCAAGGCGGAATGTCAAAAGTCAGAAACTTAAAAAAAAAAAAGGAAAACAGTTTAATAAATATAGCCAGCCGCTATCTCACCGTCATCCTTTCTCCCAGCCCGTTGATCTTTACTCCTCCCGGCGCCAAGCTTACATGTCTTGCGTCGAGCACAGCTCCCCATGCTAAGGACCATGCACCGGGGTTTTCCGTAGGTCGAAGGCTCCTCAGATTCTGAGTAGCCTATCAGAAGAATCAGCTGGGAACTGGTTGGGTATATGCAGGGCTATTTTTGGGCAGGAACGCAAAGGAACGGAGTTCCGTCTGGCTCCCGAGTTGGCCACGCCCAGCAGGAACTCATTAGCATAATAGGCCACACCCAACAGCAGAAACTCATGAGGATTGGCTACATTAGGGGTGTGTGGCCTAACATGCAAAGGAGTTCCTGCCACAAAAAAAGGCCCTGGGTTTTGACCACAAACCAGGTAAACAGAATAACAAGCAAAAGGTGGGTGTGGCTGGATGAGCACACTTCTGGTAACATGGGGGTGCGGCCTAATGTGCCAATGAGCTGTGCTGTCAGGGGTGTGGCCCAATATGCTAATGAGTTCCTGTTGTTGGGTGTGGCCTATTATGCTAATGAGTTCCTGCTGGGCTTTTTCTACAAAAAGAGCCCTGGTGTTCTATGGACAATTCAGTGTGTTTTTCCCTGCCTTCCCCTTCGGTAGCCTCCTGGGATGCATGGAAATGCATTGACAGGTTTCGTGGAGCCCTTGGGGGGGGGATTACACGGATCTTGGTCGTGGTAAACCGGAGAACCAAAGAGAAGAAGAAGAGATTGGATTTGTACCCTGCCCTTCACTACCCCACCCTTCACAGAGCGATTTATAATCTCCTTTCCCCTCCCCTCCCCTCTGCTCCCCACAACAGACACCCTGTGAGGTGGGTGGGGCTGAGGGAGCTCTCTCGAGAACTGCCCTCAAGAGAACAGCTCTGAGAGAACTTGTAACTGACCCAAGGTCACACCAGCAGCTGCATGTGGAGGAACGGGGAATCAAACCCGGTTCCTCCCAGGTCAGAGTCCACGCTCCTAACCACTACACCAAACTGGCTCTCACCTTTTCCATCAGCAGAACATCTGTATGATATAACCTAGGGTGTAAGCACCACCCTGGGTCCGATCCCCTTGGGGAGAATACAGAACCTTTGGTCATATCTGCTGGACAACTGGCTGTCAAGCTTCACTGGTACTGCTTTAGGGAGGGGCCGTGGCTCAGTGGTAGAGCATCTGCTCGGCATGCAGAAGATCCCAGGTCCAATCCCCGGCATCTCCAGTTAAAACTTCTTGCAGTAGCACCACCCCCTATAGGGGTGGTGGCAGTAGGTGATGTGAAAGACCTCTGCCTGAGACTTTGGAGCGCTGCTGCCAGTCTGAGTAGACAACGCTGACCTTGACGGATTCAGTGTAAGGCAGTTCCATGTGCTTTCTGCAGCCCAAGACGGCCCCTGCGTTTATAAGTACTCAGCACCGGCGATCTCTTGTTATCTGCTGCGTACACTTCTCGCAGAGTGAATGATCAACCGCGGTATATTGCTGACGACAACCAGAGGCATTTGTGGTGGACAGTTCAAGAAAAAGACCGGTTATGCCATGGCGGGTAGAGCTGGTAAGATTTCTGGGAATTCTGAAGCCATGGGTGGGGGACACCCGTTTTTTGACGTGCCCAGAAATTTGTCAGAAAGTGAAATCAGTGCAGTACCTTGTTCGTTCTGGGGTGTGTTTGTGTGTGTGGGAGGGAAGGCGGACGGGGAAGGTTGACAATCCGGAAGGGCCGAGGCGAGTGGATTGTGAAAGAGAGGAGACTGCGGAAAGATGTGCACGTGGATGGAATGTCGATTAGAAATGGGACTGGAGGGTCGCCAGCTCCGGGTGGGGAAATACCTGGAGAATTTGGGGGTGGAGCCTGTGGAGGGGAGGGACCTCAGCAGGGTACAATGTCATAGACTCCACCCACTAAAGCAGCCATTTTCTCCAGGGGAGCTGATCTCTGTTGCCTGGAGAGCCGTTGTAATAGAAGAAGAGGAGGAGATTGGATTTATACCACCCGCCCTTCACATTCTGAAGGAGTCTCAGAGCGGCTTACAATCTCCTTCCCCTCCCCTGTGGGGTAGGTGGGGCTGAGAGAGCTCTTTCGAGGACTGCCCTTGAGAGAACAGCTCTGAGAGAACTTGTGACTGACCCAAGGTCACTCCAGCAGCTGCATGTGGAGGAGTGGGGGAATCAAACCCGGTTCTCCCAGATGAGAGTCCACCGCGCCTAACCACTACACCAAACTGGTTAGCGGGAGATCTCCAGGCCCCACTTGGACAGCTCTACTGGAGGACAAGGAAGTGTGAAACAAATAGTGTGAAGGGGTGTGCAGGGAAGAGATAGCAGTGAGGGAGAAGTGTGTGTCTCCAGATTTATTTGTTTACCTCTTTTGGTGTAGTGGTTAAGTGCGTGGACTCTAATCTGGGAGAACCGGGTTTGATTCCCCACTCCTCCACTTGCACCTGGCTGGATGACCTTGGGCAAGCCATAGTTCTGATAAGAGCTGTTCTTGAAAAAGAGCAGTTTCTGTCAAGGGTGTCTGTTGTGGGGAGGAGAAGGGAAAGGAGTTTGTAAGCCGCTCTGAGACACCTTTGGGTAGTGAAGGGCGGGGTATAAATCCAATCTCTTCTCTTCTTCTTTTC